CAGAATGCGGTAGGGTCCAATGAATCTAGGGCTAAGCTTCCCTTTCTTCCCGAACCGTAGGACCTTCTTCCAAGGTGAAACCTTCAAAAATACCATGTCACCAACATTGTACTCTATGTCTCGTCTCTTCAAGTCTGCATAAGATTTCTGTCTGTCCGAAGCAGTGCGGAGTCGGTCTCTGATCACACGAACCTTCTCCTCGGTTTCCTGCACAATATCTGGTCCCTCGAGCTTACGCTCGCTAAGCTCTGTCCAACAAATCGGGGTTTGGCACTTTCTGTCGTAGAGTGCCTCATACGGAGCCATCTGAATACTCGCATAGTAACTGTTATTGTATGCAAACTCCATCAACGGCAAGTAACGCTCCCAATCTTCTCCAAAGTCGATCACACAAGCTCGCATCATATCCTCGACAATCTGTATCACCCTCTCGGACTGGCCATCGGTCTGAGGGTGAAATTCCGTACTAAGGTTCAAAGCTGTGCCAAAAGCCTTCTGAAGTCCTCTCCAGAACATCGAAGTGAACCGGGGATCTCTATCAGATATGATTGACAGCGGAGCACCGTGCAACCGAACTATCTCTCTAACGTATAAGTCTGCCAATTTGTCCAAGGAAGAGTCACGTCTGACGGGTAGAAAATGAGCGGACTTTGTCAACCTGTCAACAATGACCCAGATGGCGTCATTCTTTTGTGAAGATCGTGGCAATCCGATCACAAAGTCCATAGTGATCCTTTCCCACTTCCATTCCGGAATGGTAGGAGGGTGCAGCAACCCTGTCGGAACCTGGTGCTCAGCCTTGACTTGCTGACAAGTCAAACAGCACGCAGTGAACTCGGAGATTTCCTTTTTCATAGCTGGCCACCAATAGGATTTCTTCAAATCCTGATACATCTTGTTACTACCCGGGTGCATAGTGTATACGGTTCCGTGAGCCTCGCGTAACAAGCGATCCCTCACTCCACAGCGGGGCACCACTAGGCGTTCACGATAGTACAAGACTCCGTCATCGCGAATTGCAAACTCGGGCCTCTTTCCTGTAGGAATTAACTCTCGAGTCTTCTGACAAAACTCATCATCTCTCTGTGCTGTACGGATCTCCTGCTCTAACGGAGACTGAAGCTGTAGCTCGGCTAACGATTTTCTTCTCAAAGCATCGGCCACGATGTTAGCCTTGCCCGAGTGATACTCAATGACTAAATCGTAATCCTTGATCAGCTCCAACCATCGACGTTTTCTAAGATTCAGCTCCTTCTGGGTGAGTAGGTACCTCAAACTCTTGTGATCGGTGAAGATGTGAATCCTCTCTCCAAAGATGTAATGGCGCCAAATCTTCAAGGCGAACACCACGGCTGCCAACTCTAAATCATGTGTCGGGTAGTTCTCCTCGTGAGTCTTCAACTGTCTCGATGTGTAGGCCACTACCTTACTCAACTGCATCAGTACACAACCTAAGCCGCTATGAGATGCGTCACTATAGATGGTATACTCGATGCCAGGAGTAGGTTGAATCAAGACTGGTGCCTGGGTCAGGCACTCCTTCAGTTGATCAAAACTGCGTTGGCACGCTTCTGTCCACTCAAATTTGATGTCCTTCCGCAGTAGCTTGTTCAATGGAGTAGCGATCGAGGCGAAGCCCTTAACAAATCGACGATAGTAACCGGCTAACCCAAGGAAGCTCCTCACCTCACGAACATTCCGCGGAGTCTTCCAATCCACTATGGCCGAAATCTTGCTGGGCTCTACCTGGATACCGGTGGCAGAGATAACATGTCCTAAGAATGTCACCTCACTCAACCAGAATTCACACTTGGACAATTTTGCATACAGCTTGTGCTCTCTAAACACACTCAAAACCAATTGCAAATGTCCAGCATGCTCCTCCTGAGTCCGTGAATAAACCAAGATGTCATCGATGAACACTACTACGAACTGGTCCAAGTATGGTCGGAACACACTGTTCATAAGCTCCATGAACACTGCCGGGGCATTAGTCAATCCGAAAGGCATGACTGAGAACTCATAATGCCCATAGCGTATCCTAAAAGCAGTCTTCGGAACGTCTTCCCTCTTAACGGGAATCTGATGGTATCCAGAACGCAGATCAATCTTCGAGAATACTGTAGCCCCTCTGAGCTGGTCAAACAGGTCGTTGATGCGAGGCAACGGATAACGATTCTTCACTGTGGCTTTGTTCAACTGCCTGTAGTCGATGCAAAGTCTCATGGATCCATCCTTCTTTCGAACAAATAACACCGGTGCTCCCCATGGGGAAACGCTAGGTCGGATGAATCCCTTTTCCAGTAGCTCTTGCAACTGAGCCTTCAACTCCTTCATCTCGGCAGGTGCTATACGATA